AAAAAAAAAGGTGCACCACTCAGGGGCCAGCCTGCCTGCCTGCCCTGTGCTTGAAATTCTTTCGGTCTAAATTTAAAAACAAAAAAGGAGTCGCTGCACCGTCCGCGAGGTGTGCGGTGTTTTGAAGCGAAGAAGAAGGGACGCGCGCTCCGAGGCAACAACAGGATTGAGAAAAGAAAAAAAAGGGGCTCGACTTGCCCCTCTCTCGTGCATTATCGACTCGAGCCCCTCTCTCTGCCGGTCTTCATGGGACTATCTCCCACCATGATCTCCAACACTCAATTGGAGGGGTGCGGTCTGTTTTGATTTCATATCGCAGACCCTGTCTCTCGTCGTTCTTGCCAAGCTCGAGGTGCGGCGGCTTGGACGTCTTGGCAGCCGACAGCTGCGGGTGCAAGGAAGGGGTTCGCATTGCAGACAATGAATCGTCCGCCTGCACACGCGCGCGCGCGCTCTCTGTGTCTCGGAGCTCCAAGTGTTGGCGAGCTGCTGGCGAGACGCAACATGAAGATCGGAAGCGATCTATTGATCAGCCAGCTTAGCCCTGCCAAGGCAGCGCTCGGCGAAAAGACGGCCAGATGCACCAATGCGCCAGATGGCAGACTTCCAAAAAAAATGGCAAAGCCGCTTTGAAATCTGCACGTGTTGGGCCAGCCCTGACGCTTGGCCAGCCCTCGCAGGGCAGGCGGTTTGACGATTTCGAATTGCGAAATTTTCGAGCGCTTCATGCAGCTTCGTGCAGATGGCTGCAGCTGCTGCTGCTTTTGCCGATCCCTCGGCGCGCGCAGACGGTCTCTGTCGGGTGAAAGTGCACACGACCCAGTGCACAGAGAGAAAAAAAAAACTCCGACGACACCGGATCGCCTGGCCCGCCAAACCGATTCTTGTGTCGGCCAAGCGCGGGCAACGTCTGCTGAACTTTCGGTGCTGCCCTCTTGGCTTAGCCTTGGTCCGATTCGCCAGCTCCGATTCCGAAACTGCCCCACTGCCACAGCACGCATTGCGCAGATCGGACAGAAAAGGGTCTTGACTGTCGCAAGAGGGCGCGCACTTGTCGAGGATCGTCGCCGGCGTTCGATCCATGCACTCGTGACGATCGAACGTCTTGCGCACAAATCCACGACACCTCGAGTCTCGTCATGCTGTAACTTGCTGTACATATGGACCGCCATTTCAGCACAAGGTCGACAGTGTAGGGACTCGTGCTTGCGACGAGGAGCCCCGGCCATGTTCATGATCCGCAACATCCTGACAGCCGCGGCGCTACTAGACCCTTGTCTGCTTGTCGATCCGCACACAATGGCGCTCCAGGTCCGAGCGCGATACACTACTGTACGGCCCTTGCGATCCCACTGCACACGGACCCTTTCGGTCGACCGTCAAGCTCTGCGTAGGCCGACCAACGCGGCATGGTTGAGAGCGCTAGACTGCGGTGTCCCGGACGACCATGCGGACATCGGCACGGTGCGGCTTGTTTTGATTGTTTCTCTTTCGCTCCAACTACTCGGCTTGCGAGCTGATTTATTTTTTCGAAAAAGCGAGCGGAGAGGAGAGCGGAAGCGGTTGCATCGCAAGAAGCTCGCCTGCCGCCCAGCCGAGCAACAGCGTCGTGGCGTCAGCTTGCGTCGCCCGCCCTGGCATCACTCTGCTCACTGTGCACGGCAACCGAATTTCTCAGTTTCGTCATCGCCTTTCGCTCCCATCGGCATCCACTCTTCAGATCGGCTCCAGATCCCGATACCGGTCGGTCATCCCTGGCGTCGTCTTCAGCTCGACAAGTCACCTCACCCTCCTTCAGGAGAAAGAGATGGTACAAGACAGATGTGTTTTCATTTTCTCCCACGCTATGTGCAAACGAGCCTCAGCGCGACAGATGGTAGTCGTCGATCCTGAGCAGCAGCGCCACGGTCTCAGTGGCGAGCTCGATGGCGCTCGTGTTGACGAGCAGCGGCTGCAGCACGTTTTCCTCGAGGATGTTGGTGATCTGGCCCTTGCGCACGTTGATGCCCGCCGTGCGCTCGCCCAGCGCGTGGCGGTTGCGCAGCTCGGTCACGATGCTGATCGGGTTCAGACCCGCGTTCTCGGCGAGCGTCGTGGGGATCACCTCGAGCGCCTCGGCGTACGCCTGGAAGCAGTATGCCTCCATGCCCTTGAGCGTCTGCGAGTGCTGCGCCAGCAGACGCGACACGTGCACCTCGGGCGCACCGCCGCCCGCGATCAGCGCCTTCTTCTTCACCAGGCATCGCACCACGCACAGCGCATCGTGCAGACTGCGCTCGCTCTCCTCGAGCACCAGCGAGTTGGCACCCGTGCACAGGATGCTGACGGTGCGACCCATGTTCTTGATGCCGGTGATCTTGACCACGCGCGCGCCGTTCTGCTGCACCTCGTCGATCAGCTCCGCCGAAGCCAGCTTGTCCTCGGTGAAGGCCTCGATGTCGGCGATCGGCTTGGCACCAAGCGTCTTGGACACAAACTCGATCTCGTCGCGCTCCACGTCCTTGACCACGAGGATCTTGAGCTTGGCGAGGAAGTGCAGCGCCAGCTCGTTGACCGCATCGCGCAGGATCGACTTTTGGATGAGCAGCACGTTGCATCCGGTCTTCTTGATCTTCTTGCACATGTTGAGCAGGTACTGGCGTTCCTCCTTGAGGATCTTGTCCATCTGGCGGTAGTCGTTCACCACAATCTGGTTGTCCATGTCCGGCTTGGGGCTGCTCAGCTGGAACTGGCACACGGCGATCTTGGCCTTCTCCATGCGCGTGGGGCCGCCGCTGCCCGACACGACGTTCTGCGCCAGCACGAGGCCCTCGACGAGCTCCGTGTCGTCGATGGTGCCGCCGACCTTCTTGACGATGCGGATGTCGCGCAGATCCACATTGTCCTGCGCATCCGCCGAGCGCGAGGCGCGGACGGGCGGAGCGCCGTCGATGGTCGAGGCGGATGCTGGTGCGGCGGCCGTCTTGTTGCTGGACTGGGCGCCGGGCGTGACGAGGCGGGTGACGGCGTCGACGGCGATGGGCGCAAGGACGGACGAGTACTGCGAGACGATCTTGGAGTTGAGACTGGTGCTGGCGGCGCGCAGGAGCGACTCGCGGTCGTTGAGCTCGACGGGCGTCGAGATGTCGGTGAGGAACTCGACGGCCTTGGTGGCGGCCTTCTGGAAGGACTCGGCGATGATGGTGGGGTGGATGCCCTTGTTGAGCATCTTTTCAGCCGCGCCGAGCAGGCTGCCGGCTACAACGACGACCGAGGTGGTGCCGTCGCCGGCCTCGACGTCCTGCGCCTGCGAGAGCTCGACGAGCATGCGTGCAGCAGGGTGCATGACGGCCATGTGTTTGAGGATGGTGGCGCCGTCGTTGGTGATCACGACCTCGCCGTTGGACGTCTGGATCATCTTGTCCATTCCCTTGGGGCCGAGCGAGGTGCGCACGGCATCGCTAACGGCCTTGGCGGCGGACAGGTTGGACCTGCGCACTTCGTCGGGCTTGTCTGCGTTCTTGAAGGCGTTCTGCGACGGGCCGCCTCGTGCCAGTGGCGCAGCGGCAGGTGCTGCTGCGGACATATTGGGTGGGTGTCTGTGAAGAGCGCTGCGGTCGGTTCCAAGCCCCGGTATTCGTTGTGAGAGCTCGATGTGTGCAGGAGCGCTTGTCGATAACAAAGACCTCACTAGCTGACGATCAAGCGCGAGAGAGAACGATCCGAAACACTACGAGACGAGAGTCGAGAAGAAGAGATGGTGTTCGCGACGACAGAGTCCGATGCAGCTGTGCAAAGAGCAACACACTCGAGCCATCTTTCCAATTTGTGCAGACGCGCACTCACCACCGCCCGCTGCCAAGTTGGAGTGCAACGATAGGAAAAGGCTCAGCAGAGCGCAGTGGGGCCTCCGCGCGCGCGTGTGTTGGTGCGGGAAGAAGCAAAAAGAAGAAATTGGACTGGCGGTGCGTGCCGCGTCGCTTGCTGCTCTCAAGTTACCGAGAGGTAAGCGTGACAAATCCGTTGGACCCTTTCAACGAGGCCACGTCAATTTTGGAGTGTTAGACCGCTTGGCTCGAGCCTCCACTTTGAGGGTGCGTGTCGATTTGGACCGTGGAAGGCGGCGAGGCTGAGCAGCAGCTCGGACCGTGACACCGTAGCTTGATGCCACCATCATCCACCACTTCTTGCGAGCAAGCGCCTGAGCAAGCGCCACGGATAGTGACTCGGCCACACACAGCAAGCACCAACGCTACAAGCCAGCTCGGCTCTCTTCGTACCGAATAGCAATCACTGCCATTGGCAACGGAGTTTGTTCACGCGATGTCGATGTTCGGGGGCATCGACGGCAGCTTTGCCGGCCTCAACCGGTTCATGCAGAATGGCATGGATCCTCGCTTTCCGCGACCGCCGCGAGCGTACGACGAGTACTTCAAAGCTTACAGCATGGCTATGCTGCCGGGCAAGGAGCGACTCAACGTCAGCTACGGAGGCAAGATCATCATGCCACCATCGGCGCTCGCACACCTCACCAATCTCGAGATCGAGTCGCCGTGGTTCTTTGAGCTGCGCAGCACAGGCGCCTCCGAGGTGCGCCGCACCCATGCAGGTGTGCTCGAGTTCATTGCCGACGAGGGCAACGTCCACCTCCCCGCATGGATGATGCGCACTCTTGGCCTGTCCGAGGGAGACCCCATTCGACTCACGGGTGCGACGCTGCCCAAGGGCAAGATGGTCAAGATCCAGCCGCAGACCGTCGACTTCCTCGAAATCAGCGATCCCAAGGCGGTGCTGGAACAGGCCTTCCGCAACTTTTCCGCACTCACTCCCGGCGACATTGTCGAGATAAGCTACAACTGCCTCACCTTTGAGATCCTCATCATGGAGATCACTCCCAACGCCGACGGCATCTCTATCATCGAGACCGATCTCGAGGTCGACTTCGCTCCACCAAAGGGCTATGTCGAGCCCACTCCGCAGCCACGTCCTCCACCGCCCACAATGGCATCCAAGCTCAACATCGACAGCAATCGCGTAGAGTCCATCCCTCCCACGCGCACATCCACACCAGGCTCGCTCGCAGGCACAAGTGCAGCAGGCGGTTCGGGCGTCGCCACCCCCGCCGGTCCCTTCCGCGGCGCAGGTCAGACGCTGAGCGGCAAGAAGAGCAAGGGCAAGAAGGACCGCCAGATCGAGCAACTCGACCCATTCAGCATGATCCGACGCACCGACATGCCGCGCATCGTCACCAACGACACTCAGCTCACCGAAAAGAAGATCCCCGCAGCGCTCAATCTGCCGTTCGGCAAGCTCTTCTTTGGCTACGAGGTGATCCCCGTCGGCGGCAAGCCCACCGAAGCTGCGAACGATAAGCCAGCAGAGACATTTGCGGGATCAGGCACTACGCTCTCGGGACGCGCGCCCAGAGCAAAGCCCCAAGAGACGCAGGACACCAAGTCAAAGCCTGAGCAGACCGCATTCACGCTTGGCGGCGGCCGCGTTCTCGGCGAGAGCTCCCGCAGCAGCCGCTACGGAACTCCCTCGAGTTCGGCCGGTCGAAGTCTCAACGACTCCCACCGCGACGTCATCGAGATCGACTCGGACTGACCCGCTTCCTAGCATGCCGCAGGCGCTCGTCCGCTAGAGGCAGTCTTCATCTTGAGCTCTATGCGCCGGCGATAGCACGGGTGGACCACGCTGCCAGGAACCTCCACGCCCGATTTCATCCCTGTACTTGTATCTGTTTGGCACCTTTGCATTTCATGCGTGCAACGCAATCGCTTCTCATTCCTTCTTGACGGTCTGAGTCTGGTGCCCGACCGGTCCCACTCCATCTCGTCGTGCGTGCGACCGCTCCGATGCGGGCGGTCTCGCCACAGGTGCGCCGAAGCTTCCCCTTGCCGGCGATTCTGTCCTTCTGCTCGGGCCTGACATTCTTGCGGTATGCCAGGCGCCAACATGCTGGCGCGGAGCCAGCTCCTCCTCTGTCCGTGCCAGTGTGGGCATGGAACGCGAGCCCGAGACGTTGCCGGACGGCCTTCCAAGCATATGCACGTGCTCGTGTCGCGAAGAGGCACGAGGGCCATGATGCTGGACTTGGGCCTGCATGGGGCTCGTCATTTGCGGGGTGTAGACCTGAGCGGCTGGCGCGGCCATGCCCCGGAAGAGTGGTATCGGCTGTTGCTGCGGGGCGCTGCTCTCTGCTCGACACACAGCGCCGGTTGATGAAGGCGTCGTCAGCCATCGGCGAGTGAAGCGAAGAGAAAGCCCCACTGCTTATATCGGACGTCGCTTACCTGCAGCACCCGGCCGGCTCCAGCGAGGAGGCGGCGATGCTTCTGTAAAGGACGGTGGCTTGAAGGCAAATACTTCCGAAGAGCACGTCGACGGACGTTGCTGCGATCTGTTGTCGAGTGGAAAGCCCCTGTCAGCTACGTCGGCAGGCGTGAAACCCGCAGGACTGAAGGAGACCTACGCAAGGCAGGGTCGATTCTGGGCCGGCTGAGGAATGTGCTTGACGAAGAGCCCGTGCGGCAACGGGTCCAGCTGATCATTGCTGCGATGCGGCTCTTGCTCGGGGGCGATCAGTGCGAAACATCCCGCATGTCCGTCTCGGAATTTGTGTGCGGCCTGAGCCCCGACGCGAGAAGCTTCACTGTGGCAACATTGTGCAAAGGTCGCGGAGCAAGCATCAGGGTCAGTGATAAGCAGCAACTCCGGGCGTCAGTGAAAGGAACTCATGCCAGCCCGTCGATCACGCCTGCAGACTGCCGCTGATTGACTTACGACTGACTCGGCTGGGCTTGGCCCTGCTTGCCCTCCGAGAGCAGCTGCCATGCTCTGATCTTATCGGTCAAAATCCGGTTCTCTGCCTTTGCGTCTTCGAGCTCCCTATATAGAGTCGGTGAGGGTCAGCAGAGTAGAGGTTCACCGCACAAAAACATCCGGCAGTATCAAAGACCTACTTTTTAATTTTCCTCGCTTGTCGAAGGTCTCCTTTGACGTGAACGAGCACTTGCTTGTGTCTGTGCGCCTGTGATTTGAGGAAACTGGCTCTCGAAGCGGATGACCAATCGAAAGGTAAGAACCCCGTCGAGCACCGAGATGGACGGCTTTCTGGATTTCCGACTGGTTCGACGTACGCAATCATGTTCGCCATTTGCTCGATCTGTGAAGCGACTCAAAGGGAAACGACTTGGGATAGAACTTGTCTCACTGTCTGGCTTGAGAACTTTCGCGAGAGGCTTACCTGGAACTGCCGGATGAGGTATTGACAGGAAAAGCAGGTAGGAATCGTGGTCATGGTCTGGCTTGGCTGTTCTGTAGAAAGAAAAGTGGCACATGATTCACTCACGCGATAGGCGCCAATGATGTCGGCCAAGGACATGTCGACTGGCCGAAGGAGTCGACTGACGGCGTCGGGGACCTTGAGTGGATGAAGGAAGCGTCTGTGGGTCAGCCTTGAGCCCGCGACAAAATACAATCACAATGATGTTGAGGCGGGTGTGACGCACGTGGCTGGAGCCGAGCCGGACCATCGAGACAAGCCGATGGCATTGAGCGCAAGTCGCCTGAAATTGATCTGGCAGCAGCTCGACATCGGGGACCGAGGCTGCGTGGCAGAATCCGATGTCAGTCCGAGCCGATCTCTCATGTTCTGCTCGACGCAACCCGTGGCGACGATGGCAGGCCGAGTAAGGGGCAAGCTCACCGCTCAAATGCTTGTGGCACAGTACATGCTGGCACTGTTGCGATGATCGGAAAGTATGTGGGCAGAAGTGGCGGAATGTCAAAGGCAATTCGGAAATGGCTCAGCCGCGGGACGTTGTGCGACTGACTTCGCCGATCCAAAAAGGAACCTCGCCCGCCGAGGTGGAGCGATCGGGCGAGTGAGCGCTGGAAGGCCCGAATGAGAAGCTCAAGTGACAGACGGAACAATTCAGGTGTTCGAGAAAGGTGGTAGACGTCATGGCGAGCGACTGGCCAAGGCACGATTTGGTGAGATGGTCGGCAGGTACGAGGTTGTGGCTCGCAGCGGCTATCGCCTGCGCTCACGTCGTTTATGTATTGACCTGAGAAGGAGCCAAGACTTGATCGAAGGGCGAGCGAGAGTACAAGGAGCGCGGAGATCGAGCTTTTGTCCTGCCGCTTGGTTCGATTCGAATCATCCTGGAGGCGTCGCGCATCGGCTCATCCGACACCACGCCCATCGTTCCTTCGGTGACGCCGATTCATTGCGATGGAACTCAGCGTGCACGGGCCTCTTGTCAACGCATTCGCGAGTCGAATCGTGCGACACACTGCGAAGTGCAGTATCAGTGGACCGCATCCGAGCGACAAGCGCTGTGTCCTTGCCTGCGCAGCTGAGCGATCACTCGTGCATTTTTTTCCAGTAGCAAGTGCGCCACGTCCACTCTCCAAGTCACGCGCGGCCCTCTCTTCGGTCGATCACCTCATCTCATTTCGCGCAGCGGAGGCAAGACCGGATCCAAGCGGATGTCGACTGAGCATTTAGCATTCAAAGCATGCAAATGTGATCGGCGCAACACTGCGAGCATCGCCGTGTCTTCACGTCTCCACCAGCAGCACGGCACCAGCAAAGGTGTGGCCGCCGCAGCATCGCCTGCCGCTGCGAGTAGTGAGCAGCACCCGACACAGCCGTTGCAGGCTCTCCTTAGGTTCAATGCATCGAGTTTGGTGCGTGGGAGTCAGCCTGCGAGGCACGCTTGCGGTGCATGGCCAAGAGGGTCGATATGAGTGGTCGCTCGCCACGGCATTTATTTTTTGAGTTATTCTGAACGTGGAAAGTGCAATGCATGGCTGAGCAGCTGCATAAAAAACGCGCTCGGGACTGCCGCCGCCTGGAGCGGAATCAGTCTGGAATCGTCTTTGCGCCTCACTCACGTCGCCTCCGTTGCAATCTTCGTCGGCTTCTCTCCCTTCTTCCTGCACAGCAAGCGCTGACTTTGGACACTCGAAGCGTTCTCGCCGCCAGCAAGCCGGCTCTTCAAACACGTTTCTCTGGACGTGGCATCGAGCCCGCTCTCCGCCTCATCTTGCGGCTCTCCCGTCAGGCTCGTCCCCTCTGGCTCTCGAGATGCACTCGAACGCAATTGCAACTGCAACTGCGCACTCTTCTGCGCCCTCAAAGCTCACTCGTTGAATCGTTCGGCTAGGACCTCCACCTGCAGAGCAAGCCCCGTCGCCTCCTCGACCTCGCAGGGCGGCATGCTTTCAAAGGCAACTGCGTCCAGCCCGTCGCGACCCTCATCCCACCATCCTCACCTCGATCGAGCCTCGCAGCTTCCCTTGTCTGCATCCGAAACAATGTCGGAAAGGTACCTAAAGGCAGGCCCTTCCCATCTGTCGCCGAGACAGGCCCAGCCAGGCAAACCCGCTCCATCCTCGAGCGGCCCGAGCGCCTCCCCCTCTCAGCCTCGACAAAGTCCTAAGTCTGCAGCGCTGTCAGCCATCGCCACTCTGCCGGCCGCAGGCAAGAGCCCTCACATACATCTACTCTCCTCATCGCAATTCAGTCCCCGGACGCCCTCGACGCTGGAGACCAGACCAAACCGAACCACCTCCTCCACTAATTCCTCGGCCGATACCTCGGCAGATGACAAGGCACCTCTCGAACCACTCATTGCCGCAGGGACGCAGCGTTCGACCTCGCAAGCCCATGCCCACGTTTCGGCAGTCTCGCAGTCAGCTTCTTTACAGCTGGTCACCAGCCCAGGCGGCTTGGCCGTCCTCGCACCATCCGAATCGTCATCGCATGTCACCGCTGCAGCAAACCCTGCACGTGCATCCCAACAAATCCGTGTGCCCATCTCAACGCCACAACAAGCCTCTGCGACACCTCCCTCTGCCGCTCGCCCATCGACACAGAGCACATCGCTTATCAAGCCGCCCACAGTGCCAACAACGCCCGCACACGCTCTCGCCGTCGCTTCTCCGTCGACTTCAACAGGTCGGCGCCCGTCACAACCGACCATCGAGACTCCAGTGCGTGCCAATGGCACATCCTTTCCCAACGCAGACGCGACGCCGCTCCAGATGGCTGAAGAAGCCGACACCAGCACGCTCCATTCATCACCAGACTTGGCTTCGCTGCAGCGTTTGCGCGGAAGCTTCCTCACCTCCTCGACACCACTCGACTACGAGTCGTTGTTGAAGGAGAGCGACAAATTCACCTCCATTCCCGTCGTTAGCTGCCTCAGCATCTCCAACAAGGAGCTGCAGGAGCTCATCATAGAGCAGCTCGAGGTTCAATGCTTGCCTCTGGTCATCTCCGATCTGCATCGATTGCCTGACTGGTCGTCCGATCTGTTCTCTCCAGCCGCCTATCAACAAGCCATGACCAAGCACGAGCTCGGCGACGAGTCCATCCACGTGCGCGACCTCACCGACTGGAGCGATCGGCAACTCACCGTCGCCGAGTTCATGCAGCATTGCGACAACAATCGGCAGTACAAGCCGCACGAGCAGAGCAAGCTCTACGGCAAGGACTTACGGTGTCCGTCCGAGTGGAAGGAGGCCATCGACGAGCTCGTCCATTCTCGCCTTCAGTACCACGGCGAGCAGGACGCAACCGCCGCGCTGACTCCCAGCGCGCGACCAGACACGCAGATGTGCTATTTTGGCCCGGGGCAAACCTGCACGCCGTGGCATCGAGACTTATGCTCCAGCCTCGGTCAGAATCTCATGGTCTGGAGCGACGAAGGAGCCTCGGCGATATGGTTGGTCGCGCATCCGGATCGCGCCGAAGATGTGGATCGATACATTGCGTCCCGCGGCGCCGATCCACAGTCGGAGGGATTTGCGCCTCATCCGTCCGAGCTCGCCGCTGACGCCGACTTTCAAATCTTTTGCTGCGAGCAAAAACTCGGTGACCTCGTGCTCATTCCGTCACGATCAACTCACATGGTCGCCAACGTCGGTGGCCGTACCATGAAGGTGGCTTGGTCCAGGACGACCGTCGAGTCGCTGCGCAGCGCCATGCTCTACGATCTTCCGGGATACCAGCGCTTCTGCCGAAAGGAGAGCTACCACGTCAAGAGGCTGATCGAAGCGATGCTGATCAAGCTGACCAAGCAGGTCGAATCCGATCTGCTTCGGTCCGACCTGGCAGTGACGCCGCTACAGACGGTCCGTGAGCTCCGCAAGCTCCTCGAGCTCTACGACGCCATCCTCTCGGACGAGTACGTACCCGAATGGCGCGACATGGACGTCTGGGGTGGAGACGACGACTACGTCGAGTGCGACTTCTGCGGCGCCAGCGTCCTGCACGGCTTCTTTGAATGCCCGCTCGAGGAGACGCTCTGTGCCATGTGCTACTGTCAAGGTCGGCTCTGCGGCTGCGCAAACGCGGCCGAAGAGATGAAGCCGCGCCAGCACTGGCGCACCTTTGGTGAGCGTTTCGAGATCCGCAATGCCGCGGCGCGAGCTCTTATCACGATCATGCCCAGACGGTCGTCGTCGTCGTCGTCGTCGTCGTCGTC